CAAGAAGAAAGGACTAAATGTCAACTGCAAGAAGATAAAATGCATGGTTTTTAGCAAAAAGAACAGCCCAACATGCAAATTGTAGATACTAAAACCAAACAATTACAACAATTTAAATATCTGGGAAATGTTTTAACAGAGGACACTGAAATCTGAAGGTGTATTGAGATAGTGAAAAAGGCCTTCCAAAAAGCTAAGCAAAGTATTATGAAACAGGAAAATTTTATTAGAAACAAAGAAGAGAGGAGTGAACTGTTACATAATATTGGTTTTCCTATACGGTAGTGAATGCTGGATAATCCCCTCACCGATGAAGAGGCTTGAAGCAACAGAAATGTAGTTCTACAGAAGGATGCTGAGAATCCCATTAACTGAACTAGTGAACAACAAAATTTTAGATAAAATAGGAACAAAAAGGACACTTATATTTATATCAGAATGAACCAGAGGAACTTTCTGGGGCATATAATGAGGAAAGAGAGCTTAGAAAATTTGATATTCATAGGATAGATTGAAGGCAAGAGGGACATATGAAAATTACACATAACTTATCTAGTGAGTTTGTGTAAATGGATGACAGGAAAGGGTTTAATAGAGATAACAAAAAGACATTTCTTAAGCTACAAAGGACTGGAAATTGTGGAGAGCCATGTTCACCAATATCCTGAAGAGACACAGCACATAGAAGAACCCTTTGTGGGTTACTTCAAGCAGAATCTTATTTCAGATTGTAGGATGTTGCTTACAATACCCAGTGTTCCAAATGCAAGTACTGCCCAGTTTTGACACGTTAACTTTTTTGATCAAACAAGCACCAATATTTTCAGATGCACCATTTAACTGCCCGTCTTATGAATCACCGATTTCCTAATAAGTCATCGGTACTCATTATACTTACAAGGCCAATGATGATTTTTAGATACAGGATTTTTTAAAAAACTTTTCACCCCAAGCAAGGCATGAGTGCCACTAGTACATAAAGGGTTACAGAGAGTGAGAGCAAGAGTAAAGAGATGTGAAAGAGGAAAGGATGAAGAGAAGGAAAGGGAAGGGAATAGATCAAGGCATCTGAAGATGTCAATTGACATTGCATTTGAATAGTTAGAGATTATAGCTATCAGGGAAGCAAGTAAGGAAGAGAGTTCCACAGACAGGAAGTGTGAGACACGAAGCTATTGGAGTAGAAAAGATGGCTACATTTAACTGTTTCGACAGTGAAAGGGGTGGGACTGAGATGCCAACCTAGTGGCATGTTTAAATTCATGCAGTTCGGGAACTAGTGAAAGTAGCTTGTTGGAGCAGTTATTGTGAAAGTATTTGTAGAAAAGACAGAGAGAGGTGATGGCACATCTGTGAGAGAGCAACCGTAAATGAGATGCCAGATCAGGGCCAACCACATTGCATTTTCTTATAATACTTGACCGTCATGCCCCTTTACCTAACAGTAAACTTGTCTTGCTTGATCAATTATGACCGAGTAGCGAGTTTGATCCTGAGCCCCCCCATACTGTTGGCCTTATGCCACATCTAAGCTATGCTTAGAAAATCATCATTACATACCAATACCTCTATTAGTAAGATAATAAAAATATTAGTAAGATAATAAAAATCAATTTTGACCTTGACTTATATCATGGGTGTATGCCTGAGAAAAGAATTGCATGGACAAAAACTGACCTTGACTTACCAGAGTTTTTATGGTAAGTAAACCAACAAAGCCAATACCACCAGTCTGTACAGTGCCTTGTTGATAACTGAGCTCCATGATCTCATGGGATATATGTTACACCTGATCATCTGCTTAAAATAACTGGAAACATGTTGACATTCTTCCCAAGTTCAATTAGCAATGTCACAAACCTAAGTGTGATACTGTGTCTAGTGCTGTAGTGTTAACAGTGATATCCTGATTGTTTAGCAGCATAATGTGGTTTTTAATCACCCTGTTCAAAAATGTGCATCTGAGGTTTCCTCCTCAGTAAAAGCCAACATTGAAGCTTTCATCCCAGCAAGAAAATATAAAGATAAATTACGCTCATCTCTTTATTTCTCAGCTGCTCGTTCAGCTGCCATAGCCCATAAGAATCACTTCTTCTGCCTGTACTGGAGAAATATGTTTGATTGCAACAGACATGCCTTTGTCTCTGCTTGTAATTAGTGCAAGTGTGTCCTCAATGAAGCAAAGATACTATTTGCTGATAAAATGAAACAGTGTATTGCATCTTGTAAGTTTGGTTCTGAAGATTATTGGTGGCTCTGCAAGAGTGTGCAGAACAACAGCAAATCCACAATCCCTCCTCTATTCAGTCAGTTCAACGTCCTAACTTCCATAGCTGATAAGGCTGAACGCTTTGCTCAGAAATTCTCATCCAAATCAATACTTGACTCATCTAGAGTACTCACACCTGATTCCCCACCACCCCAAATTTAGGCTCTATTGAGTGAGATGAACATAACTATCGATAGTATTAAACATCATCTCTAAATTAGATTCTCATAAAGCAAATGGTGGTGACCGGATACTAGCCACAGTTCTAAAGAAATGTGTTCCTGAGCTGGCTCCAGTTCTCTCCAAACTATATAACTATTGCCTTGCTGACTCCTGCTTTCCAGTCTGTTGGAAGTCCTCATCTGTTGTCCCTGTTTTTAAGACCTCTAGAGACCTTTCTGACCCATCTAACTACCATCTTATAAGTCTCCTACCCCTCTTCAGTAAAGTCTTTGAGGATTTAATCAATGCTGAAATGGTTAAGCACCTTACATCCCATGATTTACTCTGACAGACTATGGTTTCCACTTTGCCCGGTGTACCGCTGACATATTTATGGCCATAACTAAATTTGCATACCAAACTCTGGATAATAATGGCAAAGCTCAAGCTGTGGCTTTAGATGTCTCTAAGGCATTTAATAGGGTTTAGCAGGCTAGCCTTCTACGTAAACTTCAGGGATACAGTATTACAGGATAATTATTTGATTTCATCCAATCATTCCTGTCAAACTGAGATGAAGGTTGTCCTTAATGGGTTCTCCTCTAGTTCCTTTCATATGAATGCTAGTATTCCCTAAGGCTCTTTTCCTGGGTCCTACACTGTTTCTGATCTTCATCAACAATCTTCCTGATGTCATCAGTTCTCAAGTAGACATTTATGCAGATGATACTACTATTTACTCCTGTCCCAATAGTAAATCTGGCATTGCTGACAATGTTACCTTGGCCGTTGGTCTTGAAAAGAACCTCCAATCTGTGGTCAACTGGGGCAGGAAATCGCTTGTAAACTTTAATGCCTCCAAAATCAAACTGCTCTCACTTACCCACCATAGAGAAACCTCCCTGCTTCCTATCACCATGGCTGATGCTAAACACAAAAGTGTCTCTTTGTACCTTATTGGCCTCACGTTTTCCACTAACCTGAGGTGGAACAACTACATTGAATCAATAGCTACATTTACTACAAGGAAAGTTGATTCTCTGTGTCATACCAGAAGATTTTTATCCTCTGAGTCTATCCTTCAAATCCACAAATCTACCATTCGTCCTTGCATTGAATATTGTTGCCATATATGATCTGGTGCTTTTGCTGTTCATATAGAGGTTCTCAACAAAATCCAAAGATGAATATGCAATGTGATAGGTCCTGATTTGGCATCTTGACTCCAGTCATTTTCTCACAGATGTGATGTAGCTTCCCTCTGTCTTTTCTACAAATATTTTCATGACAACTGCTCTGATGAGCTATTTTCACTGGTGCCCCAACTGCATGAATTTAAGCATGCTTCTAGGTTGTCAAAACAGTTAAATGTAACTGTCTCTTCTAATCCAACAGCTTCTTCTCTCACATTTCCAGACAGTGGAACTCCTTCCTCTTGCTTCCCTGATAACTATAATCTTCAAAAATTTAACACCCCTCTTTAATATTGTTTTCACTCTCTGTAACTGTTTGCATGCTAATGGCATTCCTGCCTTGCTTGGTGTAAAAATGCTTAAAAAAAAAAAAAAAAAAAAAAAAAAAAAAAAAGAGAAATCAAATCAACTCCTTATGGGTCATTTAATGCTGAAATTTAGTTAGTTTGATAGTATTTTGGGGGTTAACTATTTGCCCATAGTTGGAACCCTAACAGGTGCTACCACTAGGTTGTGAGTGAACCTGGAACAACAACAATTAAGAGATGATTCCATGCTCCTCAAAACCTACCGATCAGAAACCTTGCTGCCAGATGTAGTTTATCGTCATACCCAGGACTCAGTTGAAGAAGAGTGAGCTGATCTACTGATTATGTATCAGGTACCGCTTTCATTGAAGGTTGATGTGATTTGAGTTTGTGTTACTTGTCTATTATCACAGTTGTATGGTGTTATCCGACCATGCCACATGTTGCCAAACCTCCAGTGTGCAGTTAGTCATGTCATGAGCTCAGGCAATATACTGTGCCTGGTGTTGTGTTAACAGGGGCATCCTGATAAGCTTTCTGCTACCATGAAAGCTAAAGAACACTGACCTTCTGGATATGCAGCTGGTACCTCCTTCATTGAATCTGGATGTAATTTGAGCTTGTGTTGCTTGTATGTTATTAAAGACAGGCCTAGCCAGATGCCTGTGGTTACAATTAAGGACTTGGTTTGTCTAGAATAAGTCTTGTTAAGAGAGAAAGTAAATCGCAAAGCCCCCACTACTGCCTCATATTACATAAGGGTCAAAGGGGATTAAGTCTTGAAAACTGTGAGGAATACCACGACTAAGAATACACAAATTAGTAATGAAACTAATTTCAACTAATTTAATGAGATTATGTATTAATTTCCATTTAAAATTAATTTAAGCTTTCTTTTTTTTTTTTTTTTCCTTTAGGTTCAAGTACAAGATGGCAAAAGTGATAGATGCTCTGTCACACACATGGAAGATATTAAACCGAAAGAAGACCTTAACAGAAGAATTTGAAGATACACCACTTCGAAAATGTCTGAGTACCTTCGACATTTTTCTTTTGGGAGTTGGTCACATGGTTGGTGCCGGCATCTATGTAACTACTGGAACAGTAATCAAGAATCTAGCTGGACCATCTGCAATTTTGTCCTACCTGTTTGCAGGTCTGGCTGCAATGCTCTCAGCCCTGTGCTACGCTGAATTTGGGGCCCATGTGCCAAAAGCAGGATCAGCCTATTCTTACATTTTTGTAACACTTGGAGAAGTCTGGGGTTTCATGGTTGGATGGAACGTCATCTTAGAACAGATATTAGGAACTGCATCAGTAGCCAGAGCATGGAGTGGATCCATGGATACACTTTTCAATGGAGCAATACGGAATGGAACTATAACTGCAGTTGGATCTCTGGGAGAATCAAACTGGCACTCAGATTACCCAGACTTTCTTGCCTTTGGGGTGTGCATTGTCAGTTTTGCTTTTGTTGCTACTAGTGCTAAGGTCACATTGAGATTTAACAACATTATCACTCTTCTGAATGTTTTAGTGCTGGCCTTTATTATCATTGCTGGGTTTTGTTTTGCTGATGTCAAACATTGGATAGACCCTGCCGAAGGTGGCTTCTTTCCGTATGGAATTTCTGGGACATTTTCTGGAGCTGCTGCTTGCTTTTTTGCTTACATTGGATTTGAAGGCATTGCAACTTCTGCAGAAGAAGCTACCAACCCTGCTAAATCTATTCCCATTGCCAGCATTGGAGGCGTAACAGTTGTAACTCTTTTCTATGTATTGATATGTACCAGTCTGACACTTGTGGTTCCATATAGTGATGTAGATATTTCAGCTCCCTATCCACAGGCCTTTGCCACTCGAGGAGTGTACTGGATCCAGTATATTATTGCCATTGGAACTTTGTTTGGAATTAGTACTTCATTGTTGGGCAGTGCCTTCTCTCTACCACGCTCTGTCTATTCCATGGCATCAGATGGTTTGCTGTTTCGATTCTTATCAAATGTTAATGAAAGAACTCAAACTCCTGTTGCTGCAATTGCAGTCTTCGGCCTCCTTTCAGGACTTATGGCCATGCTTTTTGAAATGGAGACTCTTGTTGAATTTCTGTCCATTGGCACTTTGTTTGCATACACAATTGTTGCTTTTAGTGTTATTGTTTTAAGATACATGCCTGTTACGAAGTGTCAGTTTAAACTGAGAACAGAGGAACCAGATGCAGAAGTTGATGAAGTTTCATCAGAATCAGCTTCCGAGAAGCACAATATTGTGAGATCAAAGAGTCATGATGATTTTGGACGTCTTCGACAGAGTTTGCGAAATATACCTGTACTTCGACAATTTGATCCAGGAAATGCAGCTATTCTGGCCACCACTTTCATGGTTTGCTGCATGCTGGGATTGGCAGCAATTATTGTCTTTGGAATGGAAAATCTTTCCAATCGTGATTGGTGGGCAGTCACACTTTTAGTCTTCTTTTCTACTTGTGTGGTATTCTTTTACATGGTCATTGTGGCACATGAACAAAACAGTGCTTTCTTGACCTTTCAGGTAAGTTCGCTTTTCAGTTCATGTACATGATGAGTGAGAAAGGAAGTAAATGACAGAGTTAAAAAAGATTGATTGAGAGAGAGAACAAAAGTATTGAGAGAGGACAATTAAGACTGAGAGAAAGAGAACAAAAGTATTGAGAGAGAGAGAGAGAGGACAATTAAGACTGAGGGAAAGAGAACAAAAGTATTGAGAGAGAGAGGAAAATTAAGACTGAGGGAAAGAGGACAAAAAGGATTGAGAGTGTGTTAGAAAGACAGCGAGAGAGAACGTGTTAAAAAGATATGAGAGCGAGAGAGAACGTGTTAAAAAGATATGAGAGCGAGAGAGAACGTGTTAAAAAGATATGAGAGCGAGAGAGAACGTGTTAAAAAGATATGAGAGCGAGAGAGAACGTGTTAAAAAGATATGAGAGCGAGAGAGAACGTGTTAAAAAGATATGAGAGCGAGAGAGAACGTGTTAAAAAGATATGAGAGCGAGAGAGAACGTGTTAAAAAGATATGAGAGCGAGAGAGAACGTGTTAAAAAGATAAGAGAGCGAGAGAGAACGTATAAAGTTCATTTAAAAAAATGCTTTAAACTACTATGATTTGGATACTGTTCATTTATACTTATTAAATCTGTAGCATCAGTTGGTATAACCATCATACTAATGAATCTATGGTTAATTATGTAAACCATTAGCAAGTTTTTGCAACAGTGTTCATAATATTTTATATCTGCCTAGATTAACTAAAAAATTCTTTATATTTCTATAGGACAATTCTTAGATATTATCCCCCCCACCATTCAAAATGAAGTCTTCACATTTTCAGGCATCATTTTAATTTTTTTTCACAACTATGAAATAGATAATCAATATTTTTATATGAAAAATTAAGAATGATGATATTTTTTTCATTTGTGGTGAGGAAAATACTGAGTCTGTATCTGAAGACGTTGAGAGAAGGAAATATTTTTTTTAAATAATTTTTAACTGTGGATTAGATTTTGCTTTCAACACTGCCTGAATATTTTTCTTATATATACATTTCAGACACCTTTGGTTCCATTGCTACCTTCAGCCTCCATGTTTATCAATATAATTTTGATGATGAAATTAGGATCATTAACTTGGATGCGACTCGGAATTTGGATGGCAGTTGGTATGTATGCTATGTTTATACTGAAATTAGTTAACTGATACAACAAATACATTTTAAGATATAAAATTGTTTCACTTCAACACTAATACCCTTGGGAAAGGCATGAATTAATTTATCTCCTGAGGTATGTCTAAATAGTAGAGTAGTTGAAGCCCTTCAGATTTTCATATTGGGTTAGTACCCAGCCTCATAAAAATTTACTTACTACAGAAACTGCAAACTTCTTTGAAAAACTGATGATTTTCAGTTTTACAAAAATTAATTTGAATAAATCTAATAAATGTTCAGAGATTAAGTGTTTATGAAAAGTGTTGAAAAATACAAAATAAATCTTTATATAAACAAAATATAATAATACAGAAGCAAATAAACAAATAAAACAAATAAACTACATTAAAAAAGTGTGATCCCAAAATTCAAAAAGTGACTCTTAAATGACCATATTGGTTGATGGATCGTTAAACCTAAACCAAACCAAACCATAGGATAAAGTGAAAGTTGAAATTTTAAGAGTTCAAATGTAAAAGTCCTGGCACAATAAATATATATATATATATATATATATATATGAGTGAGAGAAAAAGCAAAACAGAGGAAGTATGTGTGTGTCCATATGTAGTAACCAATGCTTGAATGTGGCAAAGGAAGATACATTTTCACAACTGATAACTTTAGACAATTAAACTGTTCAAGGTTTTCAATGTAGCAAGAATGGTTTAGTGATCTAATGTCATCAGTTGTGAAAATGTTTTATTTTATCTCTGGGTATATTACGATGACTGCAGTATCAGAGAATGCACAAAATTAATTCATCAACTCCAATTTTAGGTGATTTTCCATCTGGTTATGACTATTTTGAAAAGGTTGCTCTGCTTCTCAATGCCTTGTGATTTATATCCTGGTTGTAAAGACTTTCTTATTAGCTGGTTGAACTATCTATTTTTCGAAATGGTGAAATTTTGGTCTTTTTTTTTTTTTTCTTACATCCTAGTTTTGAAAGCTTTCTAATTGGTTGATCAAATTATGGCTTTGTTTGCCTGGAAATTTTTATTATTTTTATTTTTTTCTAAGAGAGGGTGGAATTTTGGTCTTATTTCTCTATTACCACAATCTAAAACCTCAGATTTCTGAATTACAATTGATACTGTTTTCAAGTCATCAAAATAACAATTGTAAATCAGCTCATACTTTGATCTCTTTTGACTGAAACATGAATTTAAACAATTTTTGTTTAACATGGGACCCAATGGGCTGTGATCTTCTAGTAGCCTAGGTAAACCAGTCAAGTGAGTTGCAAATGATTTTATCTGGGCCAGAAGCACCAGCAGTTTTATGATGACCAACAATAAAATTGAGAGGTGGCTTCAAAGTAACCAGCTATTTGACTTGAACCTAAAGGGAAGAAACAAGAAAGCTTAAATTAATTTTAAATGGAAATTAATACATAATCTAATTAAATTAGTTGAAATTAGTTCCATTATTAATTTGTGTACTTTGTGGAAAAAGGAAATAAATTAAGAACTTTTTGCATAAAGTGCCACTTATTTACGTTAATCAGATGGTTTCCTCATCTTCATTGCCATATTCACAACATTTTGGCCGTTGTACACTCCAGCCTTCGTCAGGTGATTAGAATTTCGAACTGAACCCTTTATTTTTATCCACCAGGGTAGATTGTTCTAGTTCCACGTGCCATGCCTCTTCCAGATTTCTCGGTTACTTCCCTTTAACTCAACTTTCCAAGTTTTTTGGTTCACCACTACTGTAGCCTGGTATTGAACTCACAACTATCCACTAGCCCAGTGGATAAAGGTGTTGGTTAGATCCATTGACTAGATCCAAAGACAGACATCAGACCAAAGAACACTGCCCAACTTTTGTAGCTCTGTTTCAACTAGTCTCTTCACACTAATTAACAAAGGACTCTTTATAACTCAAAAACAATTCTTCCTACAAACAAACATTAAAACTTCTGTCACGCAAGAACTGTATTAATTGAACTTTTATAAACATACCTTTAATAACCGTTCAGGGAAAGCAGTTGTGAACTCTATGTAATTTTTTTTGTCTTATATGTATTTCAACATGACTGTTACATTGATAGCAGTAAACATTTTGTATAGCTTTGAACACTTTTTATGTCCTTACATCAGTCATTTTCAAGTTAACTGCTACAATCTTAAGGGATTGTACATATCTAGACCTTGTTTCTCTCCCTGTTGAGTCTCAATGACCTTCAGATCTGATCAAATAAAGTATTGCTGTCATATCTAAGCTGGGCTGCACTTTCCTCTTTCCAGCCTTGTCAGAGTTCAAAAGCATTTACACAGCTTTGTAGGCATTGAATTATTTTCCACCTTACAACTCTTTACCCACAGGCACAATTTCACAAGCCTCTTGTTACTGTTTCTAACAAGCTATATTCCTAGTTCTGCCAGTTCAGACCATCAAAGCTAAAACTTGAGATGCCATGTATAGAGAGATGAACCTTGGTCATTCCCTTTGTATTCCATTGATAAGGAAGTTCCAGCTTCTTCCCAATAGCCACTATTTTATGGAAAAAAGTCCTGAGAGGATGCTTCTCTGATCTTTACAATCTTAAACTTTTCATGTCTAGTGTCAACCTATCTATCTATATATATATATATATATATATATATATATATATATATATAATATAAATGAATCTGAATCAAATACAGATTGAATATGGATGTCATGCTGCTTACATTTTTCTATACACACCAGATGTTAATAGTGCAACAACCCAAGTAGACTGCATAAATATGTTTTCTGCAAAGAGACTCTACACATACATATGTTTGAACCAAAATAAAATGAACAATACAGGGTGTCCCAAAAAATTTGACTTAATTTTGAAAGCAATTATCTTGAAAACTACTAAGTCTAGCTCAATGAAATTGAACAGTTTAGGTGTTGAATATCATAAGTTTATTATGGGACCGATTTCATAAGTGTTATGTACACCGCTTGTGACATGGCACACGTCAAATCGTTAGTTAAGCCAAACAGGTCTCCACTAACATTATCCAGTGCAGAAGTGATTCTCTGCTTGAGTTCAATGCTAGCAAGAAGGGAGAGGACATATACCAGTCCCTTCACGTATCCACATAAGAAATTACACAGGGACGTGTCTGGTGACTGTGGTGGCCATTTTATCAGAAAACGGTTTTCATTCTGACTACCGCAATCCATCTCTCTGGCAAATTCTCATTGAGATAAGCATGGACTGTCCTCTTCCATCAAATATAAAATCTTGATCTGTTTCTGTAAATTCTGTGAAAATTTGAGATTATTTAACAAGAATTGCCAAAATTATTGGCCTGTAAAATGTCAAATTTTTTGGGACACCCTGTATATTGATTAGTCAGAGCCACTCTCACTCAAAAAACCAAAAGCTTAATTTCAACACAATTGATGAGTTATATATTCTCAAATTCAACAGACCTGAAACAGACCAATGTTTCATGTCAACACAGGCATGCTGAGAGAGAGAAAGAGAGAGAGAGATGTGACACAAACCAGTGTTTCATGTCAGTATCAAAGTGGTGAGAAAAAAAATGCCACAGCCAACAGCAATATCCATTTCACTTCTAATTTCACCATTCTCTCCTCTTGATGCTTTAGTAACAGCAACAGATAGAAATTACTAGATTTGTATGTATGTAAATAAATTGTACATTTATTTACCCATATTCAGTGCTTTCTTTTTACTTGGATTTACATTTGCTGAGCCAGAAAAGGAATTAACCTCCACAACAGTAACAACAATAAAGTTCTATCTTCCAGGTTGCCTATTTCCATGTTCACAGCATGGAACAGAATGAAGAGAAAAATTGATAAAATGTTTCCTAATAGTTCTGACATGTTTCACTTTTATTTAAGCTTCATCAGAGAATGAGATATGGAGAAAAAGAAAGAAATTCTCATATATTTACTTTTGTTTATAATCAAACAGCATATAAACAAAAGTAAAAATACCAAAATTTCTTCTTTTTCTCCAGATATCATTCTCTGATGAAGCTTTAATAAAAGCGAAACATGTTAGATCAATAAAAATGTTTCCTATTTGTTCCTTCTCTCTCACACACAGTGATTTTCTAAGCATAGCTTAGATGTGGCACAAGGCAGAAAGTATGGGGCATCCGGTGAGGATCAAACTCACTATTCAGTCATAATTGATTTACCAAGACAAGCTTGCTAACCATTGCATTGTCTTGAAGTGCCCACCCACACACACAACTTTCACTTAACTCTGCTTTCTACATCCATACACCAATCTCTTTTAGTAACCCCATACTTTGAGTGGCGCTTGGACTTTTCGTTAAGCAAATATTTAGTAAAAAAAACAAAAACAAAACAAGATGTATTGGTTATGTAAAGTTAAAAATGTTTTGCTAACTTTGTTGATATTCTATACTTGAAAGTATTTATTCGGTCAATAGGGTTTGGTTTATTTTAATATAACATTTATAATTTGTATATATATATATATATATATATATATATATATAAGCAAGAGAAACTGCAAACAATTCTGGAATTTTCTGATTGTTAATGACGTGCTACTTAATCGCTATGATGATATGTCAAACTACAAGACAAATGCAGGTTGTTGACCTGGTTGGAACATTTGTACACTTGTAATATTGCTGTATCATGACAAATAAGAAAAATAACCGAATTCCAACACAAATCAAATAATCATTATTTTTATCACATATTACAATTAATTACCCTGACTTACATTCCATGAACACATTTCTTTGTTAATAATAATGCCATGCTTAAAGCTAACAATTCAATCATTAAATACAAACATGTTTATTCATTCTTTCTTTTTGTCTTTCTTTTATGCTCATGAACTTTTGACCTAATTCTCTTCTAGTTGTGTTAATTGATTATTAAGTAACCTTTAGGAACTGGTTGTAATACAAGCACTGGTGAGAATTAGAAGTTACTAAAAAACAAAATAAATCAATGACTTGTCCAAACTAAGTTTTATTTCTCAGAATTT